GATGGATTGAAGGATGGATGGATTGATTGATGGATGGATTGATGGATGGATTAGAGGCACCCAGTTGCATTTGCTAATTGTACAAAAAATACATATGAAGTAATCAAAAAGAAGCAAAATACACAAATTTGAAGAAGATGCATATACAAAAGGTAGTAGGGAGTACTACATTTATCATTAATCTATATATATGCATACATACAAACACATCTAAGTATACATACATATATACATGTATGGAGTGGACCAAAGAAACACAACACACAGTTCGTCTTTAAATTTTACAAGCTTCAAAATGCTTTTTTTTGTTTGTTTTGTTTAATTTGATGAAAACAACAATCGGCTCATGTTGAAAATGATGTGTTCATGTTTACTACTAAAGCTAGTTATTTAGATTTGTAAACAAACCAGGGCTAAAATAAGCCAGTCTACGTTCATAGGAGAACTGCTTATTCTTTCTGAATTATGAGTGCGCATGTAGACTCTTAACGTGCTGACCTGTCCGACAGAGAACTACCAGGCAGATCTGGCCAACATCACCTGTGAGATCGCCATCAAGCAGAAACTCATCGACGAGCTGGAGAACAGCCAGCGGCGTCTGCACACACTCAAACAGCAGTACGAACAGAAGCTGATGATGCTGCAGTGCAAGATCAGAGACACTCAACTGGAGAGAGATCGGGTCCTCCAAAACATGAGTAAGACATCTCTGTGAGGAAAATGTAGCAAATAAAACCATCCACCAGATGGCACACTTGGACTTTTTATCTCATTTCATCAGGTTGTTTTGGCCTCAGCTGACAGAATATTTGAAAATATACCTAGTAAGTTTTGTGCTTAGAATAAAACCTTTGAACTGTAAGTGTCTGCCAAGATCCACAAACTGTTTATATTTAGGTTGACAAAGCACTAATAGGTCAAACATTTGTCTGAAATGAATCCAAGTCTAGACATGAACCATTTAAAATACTTTCAGCTTTTTTGCGTACATTTTTGATAAATCACCCTTTTTATTTTTGTGCCGTGTATTTCAAGATTCATTGGAAAGCGGCTCAGACGACAAAGCTCGTAAAATCAAAGCGGAATACGAGAAGAAGCTGAGCATCATGAACAAGGAGCTTCAGAAGCTGCAGTCTGCGCAGAAGGAGCACGCACGCCTGTTGAAGAACCAATCGCAGTATGAGAAGCAGCTCAAGAAGCTTCAGATGGATGTGACGGAGATGAAGAAGACTAAGGTATGGCTTTTTTTTTTCCTTTCCATTTTACATGTAGGTCTTTAATGATATGGTACGTTAAAAATAATTTATTTTTTTTGTTTCAGGTTCGTCTAATGAAACAAATGAAGGACCAACAGGACAAAAACAGAATGAACGAGTCTCGCAGGAACCGAGAAATTGCCTCTTTAAAGAAAGACCAGCGAAGGCAAGAGGTCAGTGGCGAGGAGTTTCTCAGCCAGTCGTTTAACGTTCGATTGCTCCACTTACATCAGAGCACAAACCCCAAGTTTCAGTTTAATTTATTTCTTCCTCAGCATCAACTGAAGTTACTGGAGGCCCAGAAAAGACAGCAGGAACTGATTCTGAGGAGGAAGACTGAGGAGGTGAGTAAATAAAAAAAGCTTTTTAATATAAAACAGATAGTTTCAGAATATGCACCCTAGTTACTCGGAGCTGTGGTCAGATGAGGCTCAAATTAAACATTTCATTCATCAAAAACACCAATATGACTGGCACAAACCTAATGTCTCTTATGTTAAACAGCATCACTACAGAGAAGCATGGTGGTGGCAGCATCTTGCTGTGCAGATGTTTTCATCAGCAGGGACTGGAAAACTGGTCAGAGTTGAACAAAAAATGGAGGGAGCAAATTATAGAGAAATTATTGGGGGAAACTTGTTTTCCAGTGATTTGTGACTGGGACAGCAGGACAATGACCCTAAAAATGCTGCTGACCATAGGCGTCGCAACAATTATATTTGAAGGGGACATGTCCCCCTCACATTTAAAAAATGTTCATTTGGACACCCCCCCCCCCCCCCACACACACACACACATTTACCAGGAAAAATTAGTTCACCAAGCGCTGTTTCTATTTCTTTGTGAACAAATCCATTCCACTTGGTTAACAGGAGAAAACTCAAACCACTAAAAGTCCACTCCCCAGAGGATCCCCCAGAAAATTTTGAACAAAGTAGATGTGATTTCCTGCATTTTGATGTATTTTAATGGATTGTATATCAGAATCAGAATAAACTTTATTATCATTGCACCGAGATACAACGAGAACATGTACGTACAGTCGTCCGAAAGATGGGCGGAGTGCAAGAAGCTGCTGCTAATTAGCGTGGCCCTCTTATTCTTCTTCAGAATAATATTTTTGCTTAGGTGAGAAAGGGGAAGAAAAACACGAGGAGAGACGGTATAAAAAAAGATCTCTCACACCGTGTCCTAGACAGGGCACAATTTGAGGCATCAAAAAACCTACCACAGCAAAGCTCATACATAGACGTGATACATGTTCATATAGGCCGGTGAAGACATTGAATTTTAAGGGAGGGTCGTAACATAGTCCAGATAAGAGGTGTTATTTATCATCAGCTTGGTTGAGGTTCCATCACATGTCCTTGGGGCCTTGGGGAAGGGAGGGGTGAGGAGACAGACAAAGCGTCTTTGTTTTTCCTAAACACGCCAGGAGGAGCTGAGATAAGTCCACCGTCAAGGCCACGGTCTGGGTCAGGCAGAACTCATAAATTGCCGTTTCTGCCTTTTAAAGTCTCGCTGGTACATTTCTCTGATGGTGACTCCAAACAGCCAAATTTATTCCTTTATGCTGAAAGTGGAGCTCACAGCTTCTCCAAGATTATTCCCACCGTTCATGGCTGCTGCCAGAAAGTTCACAGTCCTGAAAACAGCCTGCTCCAGCTCTCTGACGCAGCTCCACGTAATTCAGTCTGAGTGCTGCCAAGCGTCGACACATCCACACGAATTTGTAGACAATCCAGATTTCACCAACCCAAACAGCAAAATCCAGTTGTCATCATGAATCCAATTTGTTTCCGTCAAGAGTCCTGCTTACTCTGACTCCGGTCGGGAGAAGTTGATCAGTTTTGTTGAGAGACCAGCTGATCATATCCTTCGACTTGAGAAGGTATGCAGGAAAAAAAAGAGGCTCTTTAACTCTTTAAGGGTTCACAAAACGAAAGAGAGCAAAGCAGGAAAGTGAAGGGACGGAGCAGACGAGGACACGTCCATCCTCACCGGAGCACAGAGAAAAAAAAATCTACAAGGTTGTAAAAAATTGTATATATGTGTGTATATGTAAAGGCATTTTAAACCTCACAATCTGGCAATATTCTAAACAATGTTTCTAAACTCTAAACGCTCTAAAAGAGCACAGAATGTCATGATTTCAGCTCCCTGCCAGCACTCTCGGCCACGTCCATGTCTGCTGCAGAGCGTAGATCCTGACACGCTGCAGGAGGGAGCTTCTCCTGCAGATACGGGCTGCACACAGACCTGTGCAGCAGGTGCTAACTAATTTAAAATTATTTAGTTAAAATAAAAATTCCATGCCCATCGTGCAGCTCCTCCATCAATCAGCCAATTATGTGTCATGTCCAATCTTACTTTGAAAACCGTGATAGAGCGAGTCCGCGCAAAATGAACCACGAAGTAGCGAGGAACTACTGTGAATATAGCACCGGCTCACGGACCCCAGTTTGAGAACCAGTGCCCTGGATAGCAGCTCTCTGCTCCACACAGAGGGCTGTGGTAGCTCTGTGGTCTGTGTTTGCCAAGTCTTTGTGCAAAACAGTTCGCTGTGTCGACCCCTGAAGAAGGGAGCAGTTGAAAAAAAATAAATAAATAAACTGATAAAGATTTTCAGTTCAGTTTTTGGTCTTTCAAAGTTCTTCACTAACCCCGTCTTTCTGCAGAGTTGTTTGAACGTGGAGCACAGCGAGTCCGCTCCCTGTCCCTCCCCACAGTTTAATATTTCACCCCCATGTCTCTTGGTGCTCTGTGTGTCAGGTGACCGCTCTCAGGAGGCAGGTCAGGCCCACCTCAGGTAAAGTGCTCAGGAAAGTCAACCTTCCAGAACCAGCTCAGGACTCCGCCCACCGCCCCCCCTCTGGACGCATGTACTCCTCCAGCAGCACCGCTCCCAACGGCACATGGTGAGTCTACAGATGTGTTAAAGCGCCTGAGTTTAGAACTGAAGCATCCAGAACATTGAAACTGATGACTGTGTGTCCAGGTCTTACAGGCGCTCAGCAGGGGTTTATTCCACCAGAATCGCTCGCAACAAATGGCAGACCCTGGAGCGGCGCATCTCTGATGTCATCATGCAAAGGATGACCATCTCCAACATGGAGGCCGACATGAACCGCCTCCTCAAGGTGACATCAGAAGCAGTTTATGCATTTGTTAGAATGAATTGGGACATGCTGTATTACAGCAGCTCTGAGCTTTTCATAAATCCAGGTGTATATTTAAAAACAACTTCATTTTCTTATTTTCTAACTTTAATAATAATAATAATAATAATGTCATCACAATGTCAGCACTGTATGTTTCCATACAATGGCGAAATTAGTCTCTGCATTTAACCCATCCACCACCAGGTGGTGCAGTGGGCAGCTATTGAAAGCGCCCGGGGGACATTTTTGTCGTCTTCCTCGATTTCTCAGTGAAAATTAAGCTTTAATTCCATTTTTTAAAATGACAAATTAGTTAAATTTTTACTTTTATTTGTAAACAAACTAAACTTGCGGAAAGGAAAATATCAAAGTTGTGAGTATGTGAATGATTGTTCAAATGTTTATATGTAATGATGTGAACTATTGAGGTCTATTTCTAAACTTTTATGAACAAAATAGAATAATTTGTCTTGTTTTTATATAAATATATGCCTGTCATAGTCGACGCGTTAAATTATATCCTGCTGCATGCTCAATAATTAAATTATAGTCTCCATACATCTGTCAGCTTTCTCTTGTCCCGCCCATAAGTTCTGATTCACTCTAGATAATTTAACAAAATTTGATAAACACATCAAAGGGTCAGTACACTTTTCATCACCCCAGCTTCAAGATCAAGGTCACAAATCAAGGTCAAAGTTACAACAAAATCTTTGCTTGTCTGGAACATAACTTCTGATCCGCTCAAGATAATTTAACAAAATTTGTCACGTGTTTGTACCATCACCACACGACGTGCTGCATAATCTTTTACCACCCCAGTGTCAAGGTCACAAATCAGGTTCAAATGTTATACAAGGTCTTTGTTGTATTGCTCTATAATAGGCATTTAATGTGCTGCGTGCTGTTCTGTTGTTCCTCTTTTCCCAGTCATCGCTAGCATTGATCACATTTAGAAACAACTGGTCTTTTTAACACACAGCAACGAGAGGAGCTGACGAAGCGTAAGGAGAAGGTGATCCGGAAGAGGGACCGTCTTCTGCGAGAGGGGGCGGAGTCAGAGAAGGCAGCGCTTCCCCTCAGTGAGGAAATGGATGCCTTGACTGCCAACATTGACTACATTAATGACAGCATTGCAGACTGTCAGGCCAACATCATGCAGATGGAGGAAACAAAGGTAAACTGTTCCAATCATAGAAGCAAGAGCTCTGACTTCATGCACGGATCTTGATTTTGTTGTTGCGAAGTTTGTTTTCAAACTCAAGTTGTGCCTTTGTACATTGGGGGGGGTGGGGGGGGGGCTCTCATTATCATTAGATTAAAATTGTTTCATATATATAGTCCTCATTATCTCACCTGCACATGGTTCCTACAGCTGCAGCAATGCTGACTGCTGTAGAAAAGAGAGAACGTCAGCGTTTTAATTAACTGATCATTTTAAAACTCTCAACAAAAAGGCTCTTTAAAAAAACTATTCATTACTCATTAAGTTGTCTGTCCCAGAGATCTTTGTACACGTTGCTCTAATGCCAAAATTGTACTGATGTGGCTTGACCCAGTGGGTAGGGTGGTTGGAGGTTTGATCCCCAGTGTGCTTGGGCAACACGCTGTACCACCCATCACCATGCTTATAGGTGTATGAGTGATAATATAAAAAGGTGTTGTATATAATGTGTAAAAATATATAAGTTTGTATGAATGGCTGAATGATAAACTCTGTAAAGTGCTTTGCAGAAACTCGTGTATGAGTTTTCATACTGAATGATGGCTTATGAACAAAATTAGAAAAGTACTCATCTTCTGCACACATTTCCTGCAAACATCTCAATTCAATTCAACTCAATTCATCTCGGCTCATGGACAACTGTGATATACCCGACCTGTCACCCAGCTCACTCTGAAAGGCCCCAGCATGGTGGGGGCTTTAACTGGCATGAGCAATGCACAGCTTCTCCCAGTTTCCCTCCAAAGCTGCTACTGTTCCACTATTACACACAACTTTAGGCAGCTAGATACGGGCATGTGTCATTGTCTGCATGTTGTCGACCTTAGAAATCATCTCAGGGTACTTGTTTTGAATTAATATTTGATCCAACACTGTTTTCTTCTCGTTGAGAATAGAAGTGCCCCTTAGACAATTGTCATGTATTTAATGTTCCTCATCTGTCTGTGCTCATTGCATGCAGTCATGTATGCATGTTTATGTCTACACGTGACAAAAATAAAGGAAACCTTACAGTTTTCTATGAACTGTGGTTGTTTTAATAATCTTTGAGGCGTGTTGAATGCTGTATGAGGTTCAGTTTCATTGTTTGAGTTTAAACCATAAATGCTCAAACACAGAAAACATTTATATACCCCTTAAGTTTAGGAAAAAGAATGGAGTTTTGGTGCATTTAGGTGAATTTCAGTACTTTGTAATATGGTACTGTCAACTGAAAAGTACACGTGTATGTTTTGATACATCCCAACATGTGGGTGGAACTCAACCTTTCTGTGCGTATCCAACATTGAGCCGCCTGGAGAGGATAAATAGATGCTATAGAATTTGTGAACTATTTATCATTTACTGAAAAATTCATCAAGCTTTTTTTTGCTGCTTCAAACAAATTTCACATATCGGGCATTATGTTGAAGCTGTTCAGATTTGTTTTTACAAGTTTATTTCAGGTAAATTGTCTGCAAGTGGTCAGCTCTGAGACCTCTGTTTACATTTGGTGGTAAAAAGTGTATCATATGTTTTGCGACTGGATGCCATTAACCACGCAGTATGCAGATAAACACAGCTGCATCACACAGGCGTACATGACGTACATTCAGTCATCTCAAGCATACAGACATAAGACACAATATTAGAGAATTAAAGCCACATATACAATAATTACTGACTTCACAGAGCTCAGAGATGGAGCAAAGCCTGAAGATTTTGACCTGTGGAAATCCTCCATAGGGAAACGTGGTGCGCTGAGAGGTGTCAGCTGTTTTCAATTCATAAAAATAAGTTGATAACACTATTTATCTGAGGAGCAGACTGCTTTGAGTTTAACGCCATCGCAGAACTCTCATCTTGAGCATGAAGGCGACAGTGGAAAGAAAAACTCCATCATGGGGAAGAAACCTTTAGCAGAACCAGGCTCAGGACAAGCGACCATCTGCTTCAACCGGCTGGGTTTGAGAGAAACAGGAAGGAGGAACAGATACACAATGGCAGGTCAAGAATCACGTTAAGATAGAAATAGTATCAGATGAAAACTGTTCAATTTTAGCAAATCATTTAAGGAAATGAGGTCAATTTGTCCTCCAGTAGTCTAGCTATAGCAGCATAACAAGCCAACCCTAATTATAGGATTGATCAAAAAGTAAAGCCTTAGTCCCAGTCTTAAAACTGGACAATGTGTCAGTCTCACGGACAGAAACTGGAAGTTGGTTCCACAAGAGAGGAGCCTGATAACTGAAAGATCTTCCTCCCATTCTGTTTTTGGAAACTCTAGGAACCGCAAGTAAGCCTGCAGTTTGAGACCTCTGTTAGGAAAATATGGAGCAGTAAGATCTGTAATATAAGATGGAGCTAGGTTGTTGAGAGCTTTGTAGGTTAGAAGTGAGATTTTTAATTCAATTCTGGACTTGACACGGAGCCAATGGAGAGAAGCTAAAACTGGAGAGATATGATCTCTCCCACTAACTCCAGTTAAGACTCTGGCAGCAGCATTTTGGATCAACTGAAAACTTTATAAAGAAGTATTTGGACATCCAGATAATAAACCATTGCAATAGTCCAGTCTAAATGCGACAAATGCATGAACCAGTTTTTCTGCATCATTTTTAGATAAGACGTTTCTAGTTTTCTGTTTTCTAGTTTTCTGCACAGCTGCATTGTGAATCCACTCTGTTTATTTAGATGAATATAATGCAACGTGTTACTGCTCAAACTTATCCTCTGACCACAGCAAGTCCAAAAACCATCAGAAGCATCACTGTGCACTTTAATATTTAGTCTTGAAATGTAATTTAAAAGAATAACTTCATGCAGATAAATGGATCTCTAAAACATTAAGCGTTCTTCCCCCAGCGCTAAAGATGAAGCAAGTCAGACGGTGAACATGAAGAGAACTCCAGAGTTTTACAGAGCAATAATAATCCTCAGATCTCACTGACAGGAGAGGAGCAAAAACTTGTCAAGTGAAAAGAGCACTAATATTTTTGATTTGTTGGTTAGTTAATCTACAGTTTCATTACTATTCTTCCCTTTATATCTCCCCCCCCCCCCCAAAAGAAAAAAAAAAAAAAAAAATAAAAAAGCAAGTACAGCTGCTGCTAAAGGTGACCTTTTTTCCTGATTTGTTTTTAATTTTGCTTAGAGAATGTTGTGCTCATAAACAACAACTTAAGCTGCTGTCATCTGTCACGAATGCTCTTAGGATGTCAGGGAGTTTAAAATATATATTTTATCACTTGGTTCTGCCTTTGCCACATATTTACATGTATTGCAGCAAAACACGTCATAAATTAGCATAATTTTATACCACAAGTTCAAACTGAACCAAATGAATTAACCAAATATTGTTGTGTGAAACCCAATTAGTGTATTCAAGAAATCCAGCAGTTGAAATAGATAAACGAAACAAAGTTGATTTGAGCTTGAATTTTTCTGTATTTCAGGAGGAGGGGGACACGGTGGACATCTCTGCTGTGATTGGGTCTTGTAGTTTAGCTGAAGCTCGTTTCCTGCTGGATCATTTCATGTCAATGGCGATTAACAAGGTATCGGCACTTAACTTACAATGAAAAGTCCATCATTTTACCTTTTTTTACGGGTATCTTGTGAGTTTATTATTAACATAAAAAAGCTGCTTTGACAAAGGACCAAAATTTTAGAAACATTTGTCAATATAAATCAGCATTAAAGCCACAAACTGAGACTTTTAGAAACTGAATTATTGAATCAATCTTTGAAACACCGTATGTCATTGTAACTTCATACCTGTGTGTACAGCAGTAGTTCAATATCTCCAAAAGATGCTTGTGGTTTATTGTAAATTAAGATTTTAAGACCATACAATAAGAGGAGGTTGGTTATGAGTTAAAGGGTCAGTAAGAGTGTTGTTTTATTTCTTGGGTCGGTCCTTTTCAGGGTCTGCAAGCAGCTCAGCGGGAGTCTCAGGTGAAGGTCATGGAGGGCAGACTGAAGCAGACTGAGATCACCAGTGCTACTCAGAACCAGTTGCTGTTTCACATGCTGAAGGAGAAGGCTGAGTTCAACCCAGAGCTGGATGCACTCTTAGGAAACGCTCTGCAAGGTAAAAACCGCTTTCGGTTGGAGGGTAGAAGTGGAGTTAGAGACATAAACACAGCCAGTTTTAACCAGTCCACATCCTGAAAACCGCTGCTCTGGGGGGGTTGATGGTATAGTTTCTCTTTTACCGAACAGTTTCTATGTATTTGTCTGTAAATACTGTATGTTGCCTCCACAAGTCACGCAATATGTATTTTTCAGGAACTGGACTGTGTTACTGGTTAGTTGCATGACTGAGACTTTTCAAATGCTCTTGCCTGCTGGTGTCTGCTGAATAGAAGCTGGACTTGTTATTTTACTTATTTATTAATGTTTTTTATTCTAATCCAATTTCTACAGTAAAATTCCTGTTTGATGCCCAATCTGTCTTGAGAGACCCTACTGCCAACATAGGGATCATTATGACACACACTCCACCACAATAAGTGGCAGTTCACAGAGTATTCAGTCTGTTTCCTCTAATGCCTCTTATGCATGGTAAAGTCCAGTCCAACCTGTACCAGCCGCAGTCGGCCCAGCCCGTCTTCCCCAGCTCTGGTGTTGTTTGCTTTCAGCAACGTGCTGCCTCAATGTGGGCTGGATCGGCATAGCAAGTCCACATAAATCTCAGCTTAGCACTAATTGCACCTTGTTCTTTGTCCAGGGCACCGGTGCCATCTTTTGTGTGTTACCATTTTTTAAAAGAAAAATAGGAGCTCCCTCTGTCACGCAAGTAGCTGAAGTAAATGGTGGTAAGGAGCAGTTGCTGGAAGTATGACTCATCTGTGACGTGACGCCCCGGGCCAGCAAACGTATTAATGTCCAGCAGTCTGCTGATGTCAAATCTGCAGCACCATTCAACTTTTACAGGTTATACAGGTTAATCCCATTGAGCCTCGGGGACTCATTTACAAGAGAGACCTGGAAGAGCACCAGCCCAGCCTGAATGAATCCAAGTCTCTGGGTTCTAACAATTAAGATGGAACTGGGACAGACTGCCCAATGGCAACATTCAAAACCCGGGGTGGAATCCGCAGGTCGGGCCAGTGCAGGTTGTTGCGGAACCTGGATTGGGCCAGTCCAGGCCGGGTCGGGCCTTACAATGCATAAAGGCCAAAATTGTATAACTGAAATGTATGTAGATGATACTGTAGTTTATTTATTCATGATAGCATTATGAATCAAATGGCCCAACGACTAGGGGTGCACCGATTTCCTTAATTTTGGGAGATCGGAGATCGGCCCGATACTTGAATTAGAAACCGATTTTACCTTCTTTTTTTTTTTTTTTGTAGTTTTAACAATTGTCTAAACCATTTATATTTCAGAGCACTACCTCATGGCCAGTTAAAACAAGTTTGTATTGTTTCTAGGATATTGTTCAAGGATATGTTTTTCAATAAAATAAGATTGGAAAATTGAAGGTGCATTGTGACCTTATAACACTTGACAGCGTCGCTTATAAAACAAAATCGGTATCAGCAGGTCAGGCTTTTTAGAAATCGGTGATCGGCCAGAAAACTGCAATCGGTGCACCCTTACCAACAACGTACCAACATACAGACTTTATGATTCTTTATGCGACTTGCCGAATTTAAAACTACAGGTATACATTTTTTGTAAACTTTAAAGTTAAGGCAATCAAGGTTTTTAACAGGGTTAAATTTAACTTCAAATTTTAGGCTCAAAAGAAATTGCATGTAAACAGCAGCAGCTATAAGATGCATCGATACGCTCACATATTGTTTGTCTTTTAACCAGCTTGTCGCAGGCTTGATCTGCTACATTAAAACCATAGCAATAAATATATTTTGTGTCTATTTAGATATTTTTTGCCAGCCTCTGTTCAGTAGTTCTGTGTTCCGTTTCCTGTTGGCCCATTTTACTTTTAAATCTACTTTTTAGTCGTTTTATTTTTCCAGTTTTGGGGAACACTGTTTTTGTTTTGTGCATTGCCTTTTTTGGTTCCCCCATGTTTTCTTTTTTTCTCGTGTTTTTTACAGAGCTAGGTAACCCCCCGGCCGGTAAGTGAAACCTCGTTGGACTTATGAATGCATGGTTCCTTCCCTTTGCACTCCGAGAGCTAACTTAACATAACTAAAGCAGGTGCATGAGGTGCCGTGCAGTCAGGCTTCTCTCCATCTGTCAGCTGACCTCCTTCTCTCTTCTTACTTGGACATTCTCGTCAGCTCTGCTCATGTGTGCTACAGCCTCCACGCTTTAGCACCGTCTAACCCTCCACAGGATCCTCACAACCTGGATGTTTTGGCTCCGTCAGACCCTGTAGGTCTGACCCCATCAGGAGCAACAAACTAATGATTCCTCACACCAATAAACATTCTCTCTCTCACACATGTCCCTGAGTAACCCCCCTGTTTTTTCCCCCATTCATCTGAACCTGTATAGCCCAGCAAGGACCAAGTTTGCCAATAAAACAGCATGGTGCTGCTCTGACATCAAGCTCATCTGCTTATCTTGTTTTATATTTTACATCCATTTTGAGCAGCTACACAAAAAACTAAATTAATAAAGTGATGAGTAATTTAATCTTGAGTGAAATAAAATGGCATCACATTCTTTTCAAAAGTGTTCTCACCTTTCATTTTGTTTGTAATTATTTTTTTATGTCTCACTGATCTAATTTGACAGAAAATGGGGACGATAGCAGCAGCGATGAGTCGGCTCAGAGTCCCTTGGCAGAGGGAGCGTAAGTTTCTGCTTGTTTATTATTTGTTTTAAAAGTGTATCTTATTTTCAAGTTTTCACAAATATTTATTTTTCCTTTTATTACTACTGTAATTTCCACCGTACTTGTCGCACCGCCGTATAAGTCGCATCGTCCAGTTATGTCTAAAAAAGTGGAAAAATCCATAAATATGTTGCTTCGCCGTATATGTTGCAGTAATTATGTAGTTAAATAAAAGAAAATAAACATGCCCCCTCCTCTGGCACCGGAGGAGGGGGCGTGCCAAAGAGACCATCTTAGCACCAACATAACTGGTTTGTTCCACTTTGAAGAAAGCTGTTGGGGAAAGAATCAGTTTTGTGTTGTGCGTTTCCTTGACTGATGAAGTCTTCTGGATGGAAGTTGAAACGTTTCAGCACAAAAAACAACAAAAAACTGTCCAGATGACCTGACTGAAAATTGTTGGATTGTATACCTGGATTATTGAGCATGGACTTTGTTGATAAAATAAAATACTTTTGTTTGACTTTTATATTTGATGTTACAATTTTTTATTTTGTTTGTTAGTGATTTTGTGACACTTGTTCAGGGACAATGGATGTTTAATAATGTTAAATAAACCAAGGTTAAACCTAACGTTCATATGATGCGACGTCGTCTGCTTACTGTATAATGGATTTTCCATGTTCCATCTGTTCAGGTTGATTTGATGATGGATGATAAATTGTTTTGTATGAGGAGGAGTTTGATTATATGTGAAGTGTATTTTAAGTGCATTTCATGATTCATGCATTAAAAGTCTTAACATGTTCCCTTTACAGCTCATTGACATCAGACCTCTTGAAACTTTGTGGCGAGACCAAAACAAAAAATAAGGTATTTTCTGAGTTTTTTGGGGGATCAACACCTTTTACTACAAAAAAACGCCAGACATTATGTTCCTTTTTTTTCCCCCTATAATGTTAAGGCTCGCAGAAGGACCACCACTCAGATGGAGTTGCTGTACGCCAACAGCGATTCTGCCCCTGACACAGCCGCAGATTTCTCTGGTCCGATGCTGCAGCTCCCTGAAACACCAGATGGGAGTGGAGATATGGACTTCTCTTCAATCAGGGACTACACAGCCCTCTCCCCTGGCGTTTCCTCTAAAATGGGCAGCATGTAAGTCCAGGCCCAACACTCTTTTATTTTTTTTTTAAATTTTTGCTTCTGTCCTCTGCTGTTTGCCGCTTTATTAATTGTTTGCTTGCATCATTTACAAAAATCTTCTTTATAAATGGCCACACACCCAGATTTTGAGTCATTTGATGTAAAAGCATGAAGAGATGAGCACATATTATTTGTATGTCTTCTTTAATGTTCCCTGCAAAAACTGCTCATTTAATTTCTTATTTCAACGTGGACTTCAAAAACAAACTTACAGGCTGTTTTATCTAGCTATACGGGCTAGTTAACTAACATTACCTTCATGAGTAGGCCTGTCACGATAACAAATTTTGCTGGGCGATTAATTGTCTCAGAAATTATTGCGATAAACGATAATATTGTTTGAAATTTGACAAGAATTAGTAATTCTTGTCAAATTTAAGAAGAAATGTTGGTTAGTTTTTGTGTGTAGTATCTTTTTTGACCACCGGATGGCAGTATAAGACAGATTGAACCGAAAGACGGGTAGTGAGGGAGCGAGCAGCGTGTCTCTTTAAGAAAATTGGGAGGGAGGCCCCTTGACATTGTTCTAGAATTGCGCCGCTCAAGGTGGCTGCATGTTGGAGCAGCTCTGTTACTTTCATTCTGAGATTTTACTTTTGGAAACTTTAATTCCTCTTTTTCTGGACTTAAATCACATTTTTTGGATGATTGTTCCTCTGGTATCGGATGCTGTGCAGCTGGAAGGATTTTTACTTAAACTTTTTTAGTTTTGGACATTTGTTATGATGCGTAACCATGGCAACAAGTCAGTTTTTCTACAACCAACAGCAGCTGATTAACATCTCAAAAGCTCAAATAATATCTCAACTACAGCCCCAAATCTCAAATGAGTTGAAAAGGACATTCTGTGGATGCATTCTCATCTGCCTGCCAGCTGTGCTCGAGTGCCTGACCACTGAGATCCTGGAACTATTAGGAAACACGGCTCATTACAGCAGAAGGACAGGATCGTCCCTCGGCACCTACAGCTGCCTGTCCGCAGCGGCGAGGAGCTCGGCAGACTGCTGGGAGGAGTGGCCATCGCTCTGGGAGGAGTTCTGCCCGCCATTCAGGCGATCCTACAGCTTGGGGGAACCAAGAGGTCAGCCGAGTCTGGGTGGACGGATCAGACGGCTTCTGCGGCCAGTTTCTTAGGATCTACTGTGGGATGGACCTTTACAAGAGATCCTTCCTGTCTACAGTCATCAGTATCTATAACATATCTTAATGAAATGAGGATAATGAGTTGCAACAACAAATAATTTCCCTTTGGGATTAATAAAGTATTTTTGAATTGAATTGAATTGAATTGAATTGACATGACATGGGTTGTCTCTCTTTCCCGTGTTTTGGTTCTCAAAATGGCGGATGCTCAGTGTGGTTTGAGCTCTGTAGCATAGCATTTTTTGCACAAAGCTTTTAATTAAAAATCAGTAAACAAGTTCTTAGCTTCTTTTTGCAGAGAAAAACAACTTTTTAGACAAAAGCAGGGGTTTCAACCGTAAATTTTGGAGCTTCCACAAGACTGAGTTTTTTTTTTCCTGATGTCAGCCTGTTAGCTTAGCTTGTAGCTTAGCTTCTCAGCTGCTTTTAACGATCTAAAAAAGGGATTTTGGACGTTTGAAACTGGGAGAAAGGGAGGGTCAGTGAAGAACACCAGAGTTCAGTCTTTTGTCATCCAGTGTCTTTAGTAGAAAGAGAGAGACACAAAGAAACGATAAAGCCGATGAATGAAAATGAGGTCGATAATTTTCATTTATTATGCGATTAATTGATTTATTGTTTATCATGACAGGCTTATTCATGAGAACTAGTAGAAAGCCTCTAGCACGGGGCGGGGAAGTTCTCTAACATAACTAAGTGTCCACATTAATTAAGAAAAAGAGCTTGCTGAAGAACCTCCTCTGTGTTGCATCATATTATCATGTAACTGTTTCTGTGCGTACTGCTCATCTCTTCATAGTGGACATCATTTTATGTTAATTTCACGTCCATCTGTTGTTTTTATAATTTTTTTTTTTTGTGTGTACTGTCTTTGTGCTGTTTCGGGATAAATTGGTCAAATCGAACCCTCAGTTCTGGCTCCAGGCCAGGAATGGAGAAACGAACTCCAGAGCCTTCTCCGCTCTCTCGCAGGAAGACCTATGACAAGGCACAAGCAGCAGCTGAAAGGGCAAAGGTCAAGGAGATTAAACAGTAAGAAGAGCTTGCCAACGTTGTGGCTGCAAAGCTGAAACAAAGAAAACACTACTTCTCTTAATGCTGCTAATCTCCTGTCAGTTTCCTGCTTTGGAGAAGCATCTTTAATGCTCTGCATCTTGTTTTGATAGCCTTACACCTGCCAAGCTCTATAATAAACTTAAAGCTTTAGTTTAGATCTTTTTAAGGGTTTTCATTTTAAGAATATCTCACCTTGAAGCTAGCTTTCTGAATGACCTAAATTTGTATAAATAGTTAAATTTTGACTTGATTGATGATCTAACAGCCAGTCTGAGCAAGGGCCATAATTAAAATGCGTTGCTTCCATTTTAAAACGGTCTCAAAAATTTAACAGCAGTTTATACGAACTGTGTTTTCTAAACCTTTACATTCGTGCTACTTTCAGATTATGTTGTTTACCTAGGATTCTGTGGTTATTTGCAAGCACAATTGGCATTAGCAGCAGTTAGCTATAGCACACCTGGTGGGACACATTAGCTCATAAGTCTAGTTAGAAATAAACGTTTAAAAAATAATCAAATTGAGGTTGTTCAAGGAGCTCTACAATAGGAAAAATAATTGTTCATAGCCTTTCTACAAAACCCTGCTTGATCTAAACTATCCCTTTAAATGCTTACTCTTCTTTTTTAAACTATAATATTATGACGCTTGTTTTGAGTCATAATAATTATTACTGTAGCTTTTGCTGCATCAGCTTGTGGATCCATTCCTCTGCCTCTGATGCTTTCCTGATCCATTTTTCTCTTATGGATCACTTTACTGTCGGTGTCTTAGTCTAACGAGTAAATTCTTTTGGGTTAAGTTTATTTTGATGAATGTTTGGAATAAACCGTTTTTTGTAAAATTTGCTTTACATCTATGGAAAAACTAAGATCCATAAGTAAATTCTATGTCCTGATCTTTCCGTCAGTTGAACGTATTACTCTTTTGCAACATAAAAATGACAACTACAGTTAGGCCTGTCGCGATAAACAATAAATTAATTAATTAATTGCATGATAAATGAAAATTATCAACCTCATTTTCATTTATCGGCTTATCGTTTCTTCGTCTCTCTCTTTCTACTAAAGACACTGGATGACAAGGCTCAACTCCGGTGCTCTTCACTGACCCCTCCCTTTCTCTTTAAAATCCATTTTAACTATCCAAAATCACATTTTTCTGTTGTTTTTCTCTGAAAAAAGAAGCTGAGAACTTGATTACTGATTTTTTTAATTAAAAGCTTTGTATGAAAAATCCTATGCTAAAGAGCTCAAACCACACCGAGCGTCCGCCATTTTAAGAACTGAATAAAGGAAGGAGAGACAGCCCATGTCACGTCAAGGGGCCTCCCTCTCATTTTCCTTAAAGAGACACGCTGCTCGCTCCCTCACTATCTATCCTTCGGTTCAGACAGTCTTATACTGCCATCCGGTGGTTAAAAAAGGTACTACACACAAAAATGAAAAACATTTCTTTTTAAATTTTACAATAATTACTAATTGTCAAATTTCAAACAATATTATCGTTTATCGCAATAATTTCTGAGACAATCGCTCATCAAAAATTATCGTGACAGGCCTGTTGTACTACCCGTTCATTCAGGCTGATTTCTGATGCACAAACCCAGTGCCAGTGCACTCGAACTGTCGTATTGAAGAACCAAAGGACATGCTGTGTGAACATATTTCACAAGTACAGCATCTCATGCAAGACTTAATTTCAAATGTTTTCTATTTATTTTTTTTTAATTTTAGATTTAGTAACCCTGCAGGAATAAGTAAGAAATAGCAAGGTTGCAAATATAAATGAAAAAGCTTTTGTTGAATTGTTGGTATTTTGACCATTAAACAAGCAGGACACCAAACAAAATAAACCCTCTAAGCCTCAGCGTGGCATTTAGACTGTCACCAGCCTCAGGCTAAATGTGACATTTGTTATAGCAAGTCCCCTCATTTTCATCAACACATATTTTTGTGTGCAATAGTTATTTAAGGTTCACTGAAATTTAGTTTTTTAAATATATTTTTTAGATGTATAGTTCTGTTTTTCTCACAGCTTTAGTTTGACAGAAATAAACAATGAAATAGGAGTATTTTTTTAAATCTTTCTTTAGATAAGTGAAATATAGTTGCCAAATTAGTTACGTTGAGACGACGTCATGCGTTCCACTATAGCCAGCACACTAAATCCCAGTGGTATGTTTGTCTTTTAAATAAAAAATGAACATAAACAGTTGTAAAAAGTGCTTTTTGCTGTTGAGCAGTCCTGTCTGTTCCTCCCATGTGATGTCATTACAGCGTACAGCATGTCTGTCTGTCTTCTGCTCTCATGTGGTCCTCCCACGCTTTTGCCAACAGACTGTAAACACTTTAATTATGCTGCTGCTTAATTGGCAGTCCTCCTGCCTTCCTTCACAGCTCAGTCACAGAAAAACCTGAAGAACAGCCCACCACTTCCTGTCTCTTAAGTCCAACATACCCCATCCCTGCATTTATCTGTATGACAGGAGATCTGAAGCATGCTGAAAGATCTTGCAGAGTAAACAGGAACAGAAGTAATGTAAATTTAACATCAACTTGCCACAGACTTGGATTAAAGATAGTTTATGCTAATAAGTAGAGTAGAAACAGTATTTATTTAAACCTGATAGTTTTATATTCTATTTTTTGTCTAAATTCCCAAGTAGCTAAAGCTATTTTCTCTATGGATTTCAAGTAGAGGAACTTCAAGGGAGGATACATATAAAATGTTTCTCCAACTCTTTTTTTATCTGATAACCTTTGATTACCTGTATATAAAGTTCAATTAGCTCTGCACATTTAGGCAGAAAATTGAACACTACAGAAAAAGAAAACATGAAATCATGGATGGCCTAAAGTATTTCAAGAAAAGCTAAATATTTTAATACTCACTGCACACTAACAGCAACATTTACTCTGGCCTAGTAGGGGTTCAGACCCCTTTCAATATTTGCTCTTTAAGTTCCTTCGTACTTTATGATAATGTAACATTAAGAAAATCAAGTTGATATTGAAATCAGTAGCTAATCAGTTCTCAGGAAAAACTGACGCTATCTTCCCTTTTAAGCCGAATGGGTACCTAATGTACTCCAGTTAAACCCCCTATCATGTTTCATCTTCTCCCAGTAATCCACAAAAGTATTTTGTTTTCCTTATTTGTTGTAGAAATGGCTAAAGTTTGACTTTTCGTATGCAGGATAAAACTGAGCAATGATTATAGTCACCTGTTGTGGATTCCACCTTTATTTGTTCACCTTTATGTCTTGTATTCAAGCTAGAAACCTTGTTCATAAAAGACATCAAAATATGTGGAGTTTCCACCTTCACTGCTGTGCCGTTTTTATTTAGGAGTTTCCTTAGACAAAACCATGTTATAAAGGTTACAGTGAATGGATCATTTGTGTGGATAAATACTTTGAAACAATGTCAATATATTGACATTGTATGACTTGATTGACTGGTCTTTGTACTGCTGAAAATTTGATATCCTCAGTAATCATCTATAATGAAAATTTTGTTTCAATGAAGGCTTTTTGTGTCCCCTATTGCAAAGTAAAGAGGGGGGAATAGGAAATACCCTCTGTTTGTCCATCAGTGTGTGCTGTGAGCATGATAACTTAAAAAATGAACACCCTTAGCCAGATCATTCCAAAGAGTGGCTATGGAGACAGGTTTCAAAGTAGAACAATCATCAGTCACCTCCTCTACATGGATGACATCAAGCTGTGTGCCAAAAAATGAGCGAGACATTGACTCACTGAGCCACCTTACCAATATTCACAGCAAGGATATTGGAATGTCATTCAGACTGGATAAAAGCAGTCAACTGGTATACAAGAAAGAAAAGTGATCACAACTGAAGGGGTTGAACTGCCTGAAGACAACATTGCAGATGTTCAGGACAGCTACATATACCTTGGAATCCCACAGGCAAATAGCAATGATTGTGAGGCTGCAAAGAAGTTGGCCACAACCAAGTACCTACAGGGAGTAAGGCAGATCTTGAAGAGCCAGCTGAACAGCAAGAATAAAAGTCCATGCCATAAATACATATGAATCAGATACCCAGTTGGTATAATAGTCTGGCCAAAAGTGGAACTCAAAGCCACTGACATTAAGACCCAAAAGCTCCTCAAAATGCATGGAGGGTTTCACCTCAAGTCCAGCACCCTGAGACTATACACTAAGAAAAAGAAAGGAGACAGAGGACTAATGAGTGTCTGAGCCACTATACAAAATGAAATGACTAAGATCTAGAGTATATCAGGAGGAAAGGCCCCCAATAAAGAACTGATGGGTGAATGTCTCAGGCGTCAGCAGAAACCAAATATCCAAGAAGAAGAATCATCATGGAAGGACAAGCCTCTGCACAGCATGTACCACCGACAGATTGAGGAAGTGACTGATATCAGTAAATTCTATGAGTGGCTAGAGAGGGCTGGACTGAAGGACAACACAGAGACATTATTCATGACAGCACAAGAACACGCCCCCAGCACAAGAGCAAATAGAGGCTTGGGTCTACCATTCCATACAAAACCCAAAATCAGGCTGTGCAAAGATGCCCCTGAGACAGTCCAACACAATAGCAGGGTATATGATCCAGTCAGGCAAAGCATACATGGAATGTCATAGCCAAGTGGCTGGAATAATATACACGAACATGTGTGCCTAGTTTGGACTGGAGGTGTTGGAGAATTGAAAGACTGTGGAACTTCAAGACCAACAAACAGCTGATGGCTGATCAACTGGACATTGTGGTGGGTCGACAAGCAAGAGAAGAAGGCTGTGGTGATGTAGCAATCCCAAGTTACTGTAACATCAGGAAGAAGGAGTACACAAAGCTTGAGAAATACCAAGGGCTGGAAGAGACGATACAGAAACTGTGGAGAGTCAGAGTGTTAGTAGTCCCAGTTTCAATGGAGCACTCTGTGCCGTGACCCCCCCCCCCCCCCCCAAACTGGAAGAGTGGCTCAAACAGATCCCAGGAACAACCTCAGAGATCTCTGTCCAGACGAGTGCAGTCCAAGGAAACAGCTATGGTACTGCACAGAATCCCTCAATTGCTCCCTGGCATTTTATAGAGTATTTGTATTTAAAGCAGGGGTGGGCAATTATTTTTTTCCATAGGGCCACATGAGAAACAACAAATATTGTGGAGGGTTGGCACAAATGACTTTTTCATTCAACCTTTATTTAGACAGGTAAATCCCATTGAGCCTCGAGAACTCATTTACAAGAGAGACCTGATTTCAACTTAACTCAATACTGCATAATATTAGTATTTCATTATTAAAAGCAGTACATAGCACTGTTTTAACAAGCTGGTAAGAGTATTTGTTATAATTAAGCAACGAAAAAACGAGGTTTCATTACAAAAAATGTCATTTATTCAATTAAATTTCCCAGTACAATGGTGAACTGTTAACATTTTTACCATTTGTGACGTTATATTAGTGATCATTTTCAGTCACATTCACCCCAAAACTCATTTTGAGTTTTATATACTGCTGGAAAAAGTTCTTAGCTTTGTAAATATATCACAATATTGTCTTTGTACTCCAAATATTATGAAACATCATATAATGGTAATCGTCACTGAACTGTGATTTCGAGTCCCGGTTCTTTACGTACCTACATTTGTAGTCTAAACATCTCATTTGGTGTTTTTCAGTTCTTTTTTCTTGTTTAGTGAGAGAAGTTTAGTCTCTGTTGGGCTTTAACGGAAATGTTAAAGTCAGGTTGAAGGTCTGAGGTGGAGATGTGAAGCAAAGCTGACATCATCAGTGAGAGAGGATCTATATCTGGATTTGGTTAACTTCATTTGTTTTCATATGTATTTTGTAATTCCCCTTACGGGGGCCGGTCAGAGTCAACCAAAGGGCCGCATGTGGCCCTGGGGCCGTACAATGCCCAGGTCTGATTTAAAGTGAAGTGAAACCACTCCGCCATTGCACCTGGTGGTGGCTAAAATTCATTGTCTGTTTTACAGTACCACTATAAGATGTTAATCAGTTGTCCAGCTAGCGGTCTCTCAGTAATCCTGTGATTTTCCTGACAAGGTGATCATACTGGTTTCTGTCAACCACTTTTTTTCTGCATCTCAGGCCCTGTTCAGATTTGACATTATAAAGCCGTTTGGTGACTTGGTTGTAAGTGGATGGCTCTGACCAGCAGTGTATAATAATAATAATAATAATAATAATGTCATCACAATGTCGGCACTGTATGTTTCCATACAATGGCGAAATTAGTCTCTACATTTAACCCATCCACCACCAGGTGGTGCAGTGGGCAGCTATTAGCGCCGGGGGGCATTTTGGGGATGAGGTGTGCTGCCCAGAGACACCACGTGATATGCAGTGACTGGGGATCGTATAAACCTGGCAGTAAATTCATATGACAAACTTTATTTATTTATTTATTGTTATTTTTTTGCAATTGGTGCTCAATAACGTGCTCTGTATATAGATAAACATTCAGCCACGTCACAGTGAGCTGACAGCAACAAACAGGACGTCAGCAGGTTTGCAAATGCGTTTATTTCAACAAAACACGTTTTTTCTTTTGTTTGTTATCCTGAGACATCCATATATTAACTGTGCTGCTTGTGTTCACATCAAAATCAGTAGGAGGCCCTACAGTGGAGTTCAGACTAACAAACACAACCTCCGGAGTTGGTTTTGAGTTAAAACCATTTTCTCTGTGTATTGTTGTCGATCACACTTGTATTTAAAGTGCTATCTAAATTGAATCTGATGGCTGTGGACAGATTTTTAGTGCCACGTGTGACCAGGAGCTCAGATCTTTAAAACTTTGGAAACAAAATGAATCTGCTTTTTTATCGATGCTTTTAAATTCTTATCTTTTTTTAGCATTGAAATGATGCTCTTCACACCCCTCATCAATTTTCTTTGGACAATTCAGTTTCTTTTTTTGTCTTGCTTACAAGTGCTAGATACTATGCATGATGTGTGTGTGTGTGTGTGTGTGTGTGTGGGGGGGGGGCGGTCTGCACTCAAAGTATCAATCTAAAGTCTGTCCATGTCTTTGCTTTTTGACCATGTTTGTTTTTTGTTTTTCCTCAGGGGTGTAATTAACCCGGTGCCATCCACTAAGAGCAGCCGATCGGCAACGCTGCTGTGTGTTCATGTGGCAGAGGGACACGGAAAAGCTGTTTTATGTGTCGACTGCACGGACGACCTTCTGTTCACTGGATCAAAAGGTAAACACTCCCACTCCTTGCTCCCTGCCCCCACATCTTTCACCTCTTGATTTAAACCCCTGCATCTCTAATTAGCAGTCTTTGCATGTCCCCTTATTACAGCGCTGGTAATTTATTACTTCTTGACACGCTGTTATATAACGGCAAATAAAACCTGACAGGGATTAATAAAGACTGTCATATTCAAAGTGTGTGGATAAATGAGGTAATGAAACAAAGTGACATTATGCATGCATGAAAATCCTCAAGAGTAAAGGAGCTTTTCAACCTAATAAATGATGGTACATGTTAATACTGAAGGAATTATTTATTCCCACCGTTGTTCTGGTGGTGTTTTTCTTACAAACATATTTGATTTGGTCCTTTCTGCATAACAATGCCAACAAGTTATAGTTCTGACATCATTCCAGCTGCGTGATCCTTGTTGTAATACATCAATGTATGTCTTCTTTAGACCGAACCTGTAAAGTTTGGAATCTGGTGACGGGTCAAGAGATAATGTCCCTGGCTGGCCACCCCAACAACGTGGTGTCGGTCCGCTACAGTTCTAGTTTAGTCTTCACCGTCTCCACCTCCTACATCAAAGTCTGGGACATCAGGGACTCAGCCAAGTGCATCAAAACACTAACGTGAGCACATCTGTGTTTTTTGGGGTTTATTTAAGAAGCCATTTAAAGACTAAAACACATGTATACAGTAAATGTCCAGTACCGTGAGTTTCTTGGGTTTGTATTTAACCCTTATATTGTTTTTTAGAGAAAAATCAGCAACACATTTATTTTTATACGTTTAATTTTTTTGGTGCAGTCAATAAACGTTTATTTTTTCTGACAAAGCCTATCCTTTCTACCTTTTTTTATTTTGTCAGAATTTTTCCAAATCTTCTCATAAGCTCACAATAACTTTACTCATGTTCTTTTGGGGAAAACTACAACACATTAAAATATGCTGTAAATAAAAATTTGAATCCCATATTTTATCATAAAATACTGGTAATGCATTCTTCTCAGTAAGTTTTTCGTTTTACCTCTGTCCCTATAATTTGGATTTTCAACCCACTATACCACCATCAACCCACTATATAAACAGGTCTCTGTTGTAAATGAGTTCTTGTGACTCATTGAGACTAACCTGTTTAACTAAAGGTTGAATGAATATTCCACCATACCACATCATGTGATGCTCCACTTTTCTATTTGAGAGCCACTGTTAAAATTTAATGAGACGGGGTTCAACTTACCCCAGATGCATTATGTTCTTTCAGCCAGACGTCCCTGCGGAATCCCGCCTCTCATCTAATCTAATAAAATTGTTTTAGTTTGTATGTAAAGAGCAAAAACTCATTTGTATTGCGCACATGTAAATATTTAGTACTAAAAAGCTGTTTCATATGCTTGCAGTCTGGAGAATTGGAAGTTTCTTGGTTGAGTTTGTTGTGATGATAAAAATACAAATATATTTTTATGCCATTAAATAAGTTGGTCAATTCCCCCCAAGGTTATAAGGTACAATACAAGGGTTAATGAAACTAGAAATATATTGTTCTACCAATTCAATTCAATTCAGTTTATAAGTGATATCAATTCCCATATGCAATGACCGTGTTATCTGGAAGAGGGTGATTGGAAGTAATGGCCAACCTGATCTGAATCCTAACAGGATTTTGGTATTGGACTTATGTGCTATGAATGGGTCATAATGAACACCATGTTTGAGCATAGCGTGTTTCATAAGTTTACTTGTTACCAGGCCACCTTTGGCCAAAGGCCAATGATTGATTTAGTACTTGTCTTCAGACTTGTAGCCTTATGTCTTGGACACTAGAGTGAAGAGAAGGGCAGAGCTACCAACTGATTACCACCTGGTGGTGAGTTGAGTCCTGTGGCAGGGGAGGCTGCCAGACGAACTAGTAAACTCAAACCCATAGAGAAAGTGAACTGGAAATATCTGGTGGAGCCCCTTGTCCAAGCGATCTGCAACTCATACCTCTGGGAATTTTTTTTCACATGTCTTGGGGAAGGTTGGGGACATGGAATCCAAATGGACCATGCGCAGGGCTTCTGTTGCAGTCATGTTATGAGGGGAGGGGGTATCCATTGTAAAGGTCCGTCCCACAGCGGATCCGAAGAAACTGGCCGCAGATGCCGTCCGATCTATCCATCCAGACTTGGCAGGCCTCTCAGTTCCCCCAGGCTGTAGGACTGCCCGAATGCCAGGTAGAACTCCTCCCAGAGCGATGGCCAATCCTTCCGCAGTGACGAGGAGTTCAGCAGGCTGCTGGGAGGAGTGGCCATTGCTCTGGGAGGAGTTCTGCCCGGCATTCGGGCGGTCCTACAGCCTGGGGGAACCGAGAGGCCTGCCGAGTCTGGATGGATGGATCGGATGGCATCTGCAGCCAGTTTCTTCGGGTCCGCATGGGACGGACCTTTACAAGAGATCCTTCCTGCCTACAGCCATCAGCATCTATAATAGCGCTTCATGAAATGAGGATAACGAGTTACAACAACAAACGATTTCCCTTTGGGATTAATATTTTTGAATTTGAATTTAATTGAATTATCGTGGCAGAGGTCATCGAAGTAGTCAAAAAACTCCCCTGTGACAGGGCACCAGGTTTGGATAAGATTTGCCCTGAGATGCTGAAGGCTCTGGATATTGTGGGGCTGTCATGGTTGACACATCTCTTCAATGTCTCATGGAGGACTGGAATAATGCCTGTGGAATGGCAGGCTGGGGTAGTGGTTCCCATTTTTTTAGAAGGGGGACCGTAGAGTGTGTTCAACTATTGTGGGATCATACGCATTCCAGGGTGTTGATAGGGAAGCACTGACAAATTGTTGAACCTCGGATTCAGGAAAAGCGCTGAGGTTTCATCCTGATCATGGAACAGTGGAACAGTTCTTCAGCCTTGTAGAGTTGCTAAGGAGGTTGTGGGTGTTCGACTCTCCAGTCAACGTGTGTTTTGTAGACCTGTTGGAGGCTTATGACCGTGTTCCTTGAGACATTCTCTGTGTGTCTGTGTTGGGGGGGTGGGGGGGTGCTGCGGCAGTATGGGATGCCAGGGTTAATCCTAAAGGTTATTCGCTCATAACCTTCAGTGGGCAGTGGGGTGTGTTGAAACCGAATGCGATGTAGCTGGGATGGGAGTCAGCTCCTCAATGTCTGAAGTCAAGTTTCTCAGCCAGAAATGGGTGGAATGACCCTCTGTGTTGGGGAGAGTCTGGGCAGTGTCAGGGACAAAATACCCCCATCACCCTCCACTTTCACGTCTCACCCCCACCGAACAGATGAACAACCTCCCCCCTCCTTTATGATGGAGACCTGAAATTATTTGTTAAGCACCAAAAAAATCTACAGGAAAAAGAAAAAAAGATGCAGAAGTTGAATGGAGTTCGGCAGAATTAAGACAGCGAAGAGCGAGAGTGAGTCATGACGTTTGAGAGATTTGTGATGTTTAGCATGTTTGGGTTTTATAGTTAAGGTGTAGTTAAGTGTGCTTTGTGTTTAGTTTAGTCAGTGAAGACTTTGTTGATGAAGAGGGTGATCATGATTTGTTTCAGAAGAGGAAAGATGAAGAACTGACCAAGCCCCACTAGGTCTGACTCTGTGCAAGTAGCAAAACATCTGGTCATTGCACATCAGTTTTTATGTGTTTACAATCTTTTATGTAGGAGAAATGAAAAGTTAAAAAACAAAGTCACTTCCATTTTGAAGAGAAAATTTTGATCTCTGATACAATGGAAATCACAGAGTTTGGATGTGTCCACTCTGGAAAGAAATGTCTCCACAAAACAACTACATTTTATGACCTCTGACCTTTTTAGTTTCTTGTTTATTAGATTCATATGTGTGTCATCCATGTTTCTCCAGGTCCTCTGGTCAGGTTAATGTTGGGGACATCTGTGCATCCAACACCAGTCGGACAGTCACTATGCCTGCAGGAGAGAACCAGATCAACCAGATTTCTCTCAACCCCAATGGCACGGTTCTGTACGCAGCTGCTGGGAACTCTGTCAGAGTGTGGGATCTCAGAAGGTAAGAACCAGGTGGCCTTCACATGTGCAAATATCAGGCTGTTGGTAAAGAGCAGATGGTTATAATTTTAATGATTATATCAGGATTTCAACACAGTCTAAAAATGAAAGGTTTGTCATTTGTTTTTAGTATATTTATGTCGGAAAGAGTATTTAAACAAAATAGACTAGACAAAATATTTGTTTTCAGACTTGACTCTCTAAAGCATTTGAATATCTAAAAGGAACTGCTCAATGCTTTTTGTACTTTTTGTATTTAAAATATGAGCATATAGTTATAGTTTTAGTTCGCACTTGTGAAGTAAGTTAAGTTTACAGATTAGCCATAAATTGCACATAAAGTATGCAGATTATCTGCCGTAGGTTAATCTGATTGATATGGTTACTTTTCTGGTTTAATCTGAATTGAAACAGTTTTACAAAATTAACCTCACATTGTATTAAATAATTCTTAAATACTGTGATTAAAAACCAACTCATTACTCAAACTGGTGCATAATAAGATTACGTATTCTTCATTATCCACTTTTGTTTGCAGTTTGTACTAAAAAGTTCACTTGGATGTCAAAAATGACTCACAAACTGACAGTTAATGTCAATTTTTTTTTTTGTCAGGAAATGAAAATAGTTTTGAAATGTATGACCAATGATTTGTATTATTGGGTTGTTGTTGTTGGTTGGTTTTTTTTTTCATCTTTTTTATTATTTATTTAATGCCATTTGGCTTGTTCCTGTCCATGGTTGGGGGAAAATGGTGCCAGTCTCTAGCAGTCATTGGGTGTGAAGCAGGTTACAACAGGGCCACACAGTGACAGGCAACCGTTCACACACTCACTCATACGTAGTGACAATTTAGGAGTGGCAAATTTATCTAAGATGCATGTACCTGCAACCTTCTTGATGCAAAGCAACAGTTCTAACCAGCTGCACAACCATGCTGTGTGGAGAAAATCTGTGGAATAAGAACCTGATTTAGGGCGGCACGGTGGTGCAGTTGGTAGAGCTGCTGCCTTTCAGTGAACTATTCACCAGTTCAAATCCTGGCCGGGGAGCTTTCTGGGTGGAGTTTGCATGTTCTCTCCGTGCATGCGTGGGTTTTCTCCAGGTGCTCCGGTTTCCTCCCACAGACCATAAACATGCATGTTAGGCTGATTGGTAACTCTAAATTGTCTCTAGGTGTGAGTGAGAGAGTGAATGGTCATTTGTCTCTGTGTGTCCCTGTGATGGACTGGAGACCTGTCCAGGATGTCTCACACCTCTTGCACAGTGATGGCTGGATATGGCACCTGTGATCTAAAAAGGAAGAAGTGGGTAAAGAGGACGGATGGATGGGTGGACGGACGGACGGACGGACGGACGGATGGATGGATGGATGGATGGATGGATGGATGGATGGGTGGATGGGTGGATGGGTGGATGGGTGGATGGGTGGACGGACGGATGGACCTAATTTTGAATTAAGGGCCTAGCATTCCTTGAAGAGATACATGTCAGACACCGCCATTCATGATTTAAACAAAAGTCTTATGATGATGACAAATTAAATTCAGTTTATTTATATAGTGCCAAGTCACAACAGAAGTAGAAATGAAAGTTATAACCATTTAAAAATTATTATTTGCATTTTCATGTGAGATTTTACAGAATATGTTAGTTCTCAGAGCATGTGTTTAAGGCACAGCATTCTATATTCTGTAGAATGAGTTGTTCAGATTATCTTTGCAGCGATGCAGTAGAGTGTGTGTGGAGATAAATGAGGACACTTATTGTAGTGTAAGAACTTTGAGTATCTTGATTTTATAGAAAGGCACTAAATATGTACAGTCCATTTACTGTCAAATTTGAGCCCATCTGTAAAATTGAGTTATAACTATACAAACTTTTAACATTTGAGTTGGTGCCAAGGTCATTTATCTGTGGAGGCCATTTTGAATCAAGCCTCAAAACGTTCATCAGCTGTAGATGTGCTGCATATTCAAGGATGATTTTCTGAGAGTTTCTTAAAATCTGTCCTGTGGAAATTTTTTACTGAAAGATAAACATACAGACAGGTAAAATATTGTTAGCACAATAAATACTGTATCATCTGTTGGCCTGTCACCATTTCCTCTTCGGCTTCCTGCGTAATACAGCACCATTTTCAGAGGCTCACGCAAAGCCCGATCTCTTTTCACTGCACCTTTAATTGATTTAATTCTGAATGAACATCTGACAAACATCCAGTCTGCAGCTTTCATGAGTTACTGTCAGTGAGTCACGGTTGGTTTTGATAAATTGCTTTTGTGTTTATTTTGTCAAATAAATAATAAATGTAACTTTAGATGAGTCAACATGCCTTTTAGGAACATGAAGACAAAACAATCTTTCACAAACTTAAAAAAAAGCACTTAAAACAACCTGAAAACACTCCCTGGTGTTTGTATCGTTTTCGTCTTTGTACTGGTATGAGTTGTAATTTAATCATTCAAATGTAAACACAAAGGTTTTTTTTGTCGTCAGATTTGTGTCTACTGGGAAGCTCACTGGTCACCAGGGTCCAGTAATGTGTCTGACTGTGGACCAGTCTGGAAACAACCAAGACTTGGTGATCACTGGGTCCAAGGACCATTACATCAAGGTGTGTGTTCCTCGACCTCCTGCTGTAAATGCTCCTCGTACCGACGCCCTGTGAGTCGGGGAGAAACAAAAGTTTCATGATGCAGAAATGATTTGTTAAACAAAAGCATCCAGGAAAGCAGTGTGACCTTTTCAGTGATTCACTTGCCTAATTTAAGATTTTTTTCTAGTCTAACAACATAAATGCTCTTTGATTTTTATACGCTGCATGAATAAATAAATATGAAGTATTTAATCTCTAACAGTTGGTGTTTTGTTGTTGTAGCTCTTTGACGTATCTGAAGGCTCTCTGGGGAGCGTCAGCCCGACGCACAACTTTGAACCTCCACACTACGATGGCATCGAGTCGCTGGTGGTCCAGGGGGACATTTTCTTTAGCGGCTCTCGAGACAACGGGATCAAGAAGTGGGACCTGAACCGCAAAGATCTGCTGCAGGTAATGAACTTGTATAAAAGGCCTGGATATTTTAGTTCCCGCACAACTTACAATTATTGTCTTGCCCTATGTTGCCCTCTGGCACCGTCCCATTCACAATCCAAGAAAAAAGAATTGGCTGACATAAAACACCTTAAACTTTTGTTGTTCTGTTTATATTCTGGTGAAGATTCTCAGTCATCCAGGACATTATGAATTCAAAAAGCGTTCAATACAAAAACAACTGGACTTTATTTGTAACAGAAGACGTTTCGCTCCTCATCCGAGGAGCGAAACGTCTTCTGTTACAAATAAAGTCCAGTTGTTGTTGTATTGAACACTTTTTGAATTCTGTTTATATTGTTTTCGACCCTTTGACTGACAAGTTGTTTCTGTAGATTTCCAATAAATGGTAATTTAGTTGACTTTCTTCGTTCATGAAAAAAGATTTTATCACAATTATAATGTTGGTGTCATTTTGTGCGTTCTTCAGCAAGTCCCAAATGCTCACCGTGACTGGGTTTGTGCTCTGGGCCTGGTCCCCGGCTCCCTGGCCCTGCTGAGCGGCTGCAGAGGGGGGGTCCTCAAGCTTTGGCACACAGACACACTAGGACCCCTGGGAGAACTGAAGGGTCATGAGAGCCCTGTTAACAGCATCGCTGCAAACAGCAGGCACCTGTTCACAGCTTCAGAGTGAGTAGCAATATTCTTCTACAATGTATTAATGGGTGCAGATACGCACGTGATGGTGAGAGAACAGAAGTTGACGCCTGCTGTTTAAAATTTATATTTTATGCATTGATTTCGTAATTTCTTGAACTGCAGGATTAGATGACTTTAATTTTAAAATGAAAGCACCAAAGGTATACACACACACAAACACTCTGAGGAAGTTTTTTTTTCCAGCCATCAGACCTAATACCTCAATAATTTCATAACAATCCCTAAATTGTAAATATGGATACTGTTCATGTTCTTCCAATCCAGATTTTACCTTCTCATCCATCTTGCACATCAGTGTGACACCTTTATTTGTCCATTCCAGTTCATGGATTATGTGATCAGCTGCTGTTACTCTGAGACAAACCTACAACTGGAAAAACTAGAGTTTAGAGAAGTTTTAATGAATTTAGAGCATCTGTATGCTTTTTTTTTTTCTTCTTACCATTTTCTTTCCTTTCAGTGACCGCACTGTGAAGATCTGGCGTGCTCGCGGTGGGCTGGACAGCACCTTAGAGGTTGATAATGCAGATGACGTGGCCAGTAACTGAACACAGCCGTGCGCTTTGATTCTCCGTGGACCTAACAGCCCTCTGTGTTGCTGCTGCCCGTCACTTTGACTCCAAACGTCTCCACCTAACGCTGACTCCTGAGATGCTCCTTGACGATCCTTGACTGAGCTCGAACGAACCGTGTTCTCACCTCACTGAAGCTCGCAGCAGTTGTTGCCTTTGAATGTTTGTTCCGTTACATGGTGCTGTGCACCTCGTTTTGTGAGTACTGCAACACATCTGGCACGAGCTGTAACATGGTAACACTGCAGACTGATTGATCAGAGAGAGGTGGCTTGTCTGTGTGTGGAACAAGATGTGCACACATCGTAGGGTATGTGCATGACTACTGAAACGTGCATGTTTATTAACCCTAAATATGACTTTCAGATCTTTTCCTTTTGTTTTACTGATTGGCCTTCATCTTGTCAGTATGATCAAACTTTCCTGTAGTACATGTATTCAGTACTAAACCAGACTGTTGTCCAGTTTAGGCTTTTCACTCTTTAATCACTTGAGATCAAACTGTTGAATCAATACGATGAACCCTTCAGTTAGGGATGCACGATATTGGATTTTTGGCCGATATGTTAAAACTTATTTGGCCGATAACCAATACCGATATTTTTAAATAAACTTTCCTTTGTCGGAACATATTGCTCTTATTTAGGCTTATTTGCTACAAAAAATGTGTAAGAGCTGGTGACATATATTCAATAACAGCCATGTGCAGATGACCTGACTGAAAATTGTTGGATTGTATACCTGGATTATTGAGCATGGACTTTGTTCAAATGCATAGCACTTTAACTTATATTAAATGAAAAGTGTTAAATATTATTTATTAGCATTAGTCACCTGCAATGCTGTCTCACGTGTGGAGGCTTGTTCCAGGTTCCTGCTGCAGTGTGGGATCCTCTGCACTCCTGTGCATGAAGGACAGACTTTTTAACCAACAAAGTTCATGCTCGATAATCCAGGTATACAATTTAACAATTTTCAGTCAGGTGATCTGGACAGTTTCCTTTTTTTGTGTGTGTGCTGAAACGTTTCACCTTCCATCCAGAAGGCTTCATCAGTCAATGAAACGCACAACACAAAACTGATTCTTCCCCCAACAACTTACTCCAAAGTGAAACAAACCAGTTATGTTGGTGCTAAGATGGTCTCTTTGGCACGCCCCCTTCTCCATCCAGAAGGTTTCATCAATGATTGATGAAACCTTCTGGATGGAAGGTGAAATGTTTCAGCACAAAAAAAAAAAAAAGAAACTGTCCAGATGACCTGACTGAAAATTGTTGGACAGCCTTTTTAAGATCAAAGTTTTGTCTATCCATTGTGCCGTAAGACTAATCATGCTAACGGGGCTAACACGACGTCCAAATGTCTGTGGTAAAACTCACCCAAGTGCTATCGGATATTAGCTTCTCAATGACATCGGAAATGACTGCTTGTAACTCGGATTAGGTTACGTTGGAAAAATATCTCTGACTGGGGACGATGTAGTCGTAGTCTAAAAATCTTCGGAATCCGACGTCCTCACTAACAAAAAAAAAACCTTCCACACCGCCGACATTTTGAGTTTTCCTCTCCGCCGTGAGATCAGTACGCGTGACGTCATCACGTTGTGCTGGTGCTGCAGGCATCCTTGTCACTGGGTTGTCCTACAAAAACAGCATCTTTTATATCGTTGAGTTATTTTGATGGAATGGCCGAAGTCCGATACTGAACTTTATCACTAATATTGGCCGATACCGTTACCATGCCGATAATATCGTGCATCCCTACCTTCAGTGAACAGACGACTTTCTGCAGTGAAAGTATTAATCTATTACGGCACCATGTAATGGAAACACAATATTCAACTCTTTCCTGGAAAATGTTTTTATTTTTTTTTACTGTTTTGCCTTATGTACTCTAAATAATTCACTTTAGCTCCGCTTAGTCAGCTCTGCTGGGGAGCAACATGGACGACGACGACGCAACAGTTGAACACTTACCCTGGAAGAAAGTTTGAGAGTTAAAGAAGGAAGAGATGGGATAAATTAAAGGGTTGGTAGCTGGTCTTCACAACCCACTTCTCAATCACTCGGTGTTTCTCTACGCCGAGTCCTGTTAGGAACAAACGTGACTGTGAACATAGCGAAACACTGTCCCCCGCAACTTCCCTCTCCTGCTGATGCAGCTTCAGGCTAGTGATCACAACTGTGCAGCCTGTCGTTTTGTCTTGTTGCCGTAGTGTGCAGCACTTGTGAACTTAACAGTCTTAACAGCAGCAGTCCTACTTGAAGCCAAAGTTTGACAAAAACAAACATCTTTTTCTTTCTTTGCAGCAACTGACAGAGGAAGCTATAAATCCTCAGCCTCCTTTAAAGCTCTTGTTTTTATCAAAACACGTCTCGTTTGTTTTATCTCCAGAAAGCCAAAGTAAAAATTATTGCTTGTGGATTTGCAGGAGGTTATGTCTTTTGTCTCATTCCATTTTTACATATTTTCTCTTTAGATTGAACAAAGGAGATGTTGCGTTTTAACAGCAGATATTTAATCTGGCATCTGATAAACTCAGGCTGTTGTTTCCAAGACTGCTAGCTAACCCTTAGCTGTAGCTTCTCGCAGCCAGAAGAGTGAAAACGTCCTTCTGATGCAACGTGTTTCCCCAACATGTAAGATTCCTTTGGCTTTTGAGCACTTGTAAAAATCTGACGCAGTTAAGCTTCGAGATGTGAACAGTTTTAGTCCGTGTAACATGTCTTCACACTTGTTAACACTTTGATCGTACATCACTAACTTCTCCCCGATGCAAAAGGCATCTGGTCTCTTTTCTTACCCTATAAGAGGGGTTCTTGTTGTGGACTCCAGGTGATGTCCACCTGGTCACAGTATGTGTAAATATGTAACTGTGGTTTTGCTGGAAGAGGCCTTCAGACTGGCCTAAGGGCATCAACAGATTGATGTCTCCCGTTTCCGATCCTTGCGAGGCCTCCTCTCAAGCTGATGTAACTGATCGGTCATGATTGTGAGCCGTCGTTTATGAATGTTTAGTGAAACAGCAGCTGTAGGCGTCGTTCTAAAGTCTGTGACGTGTGAATTTAAGAACGTCTGACTGAATGTGAGTAATGTGGGACCACTCAACTGAATGGAGTCTCACAGCAGAGCCACGAGGACCAGAAGTGGCAGGAAGCGAAGCGTTGTACTGAGAATATCCTGCACTGAGGTGGCCTACAGCTTGTTGATTTGTTTTTCTTTGTTCCACGTGTCCTGCGTGTTCCCTTCTGGAGTTTTAGTAGCCATTCCTAAATGGCAGACTGTAGCAGTTCTAATGTCAGATGCCTGATGAGAATAAACGCTATCTGTCAAAAACAACTCGCTGCTTTATTTTCTCCCATTGTTCTCTTTGTTTGAGCTGCTTTATCTTTAGAAAATGTAATTGAAGGTTGTTTAAATTCACGTATTTGCATTAAATTCTGTGCAGCATATGAGTACTTAATAATGTATTCAAAACTAATGGCATTTAAATTGATTTGTGTTCTGTGTGTCATTCGTTTTGAATCCCTAACCCTTACCTTCTGAAACCACATATTTAGCTACCAAATTTTTCGACCTATAAGTCACTGATTTATTTATTTTTTTCATAATTTGCATGCCCTGTGACTTATACGCCGAAGTGACTTATTTATAGATTTTTCCCATATTTATAAAACAAATTTTGGCTGAGATATGACCGTTTTCATTCAATGACTGAAAATATATAACACTACCATTTTCAGCCACTAGATGGCACCAGAGTAGTATGGCATGCCGTTGTCATGTAATAGGTTAAAAAGTTGCTATTAATGACACAATCGGCTTGCCCTAGCCTGCCACCTTCGTCCAGCTCGCCTGGAGCAACCGTCAAATCAGCTTCATTTTGCTGCACCGCCTCGACGAAATGCAGCTGATTTGACCATTGAAGTGCATTTATTAAGTAAAAGTTCAACCGAGACACACCTTTACTATAATGTCGAGCAAACAAATAATCGTTTTTAAGTGTTAATCTTGTTAAATTCTTGTTAAAGTCCTCCTGTGCACGCTCCCGCGGCCGCCATTTGGCAGAAAATCGATTTTTAGCACAACACCGGCCCACATTTCCGGGTTGTCAGCGGTGACGCATAATAGATGCGGCGTATACGGTGAAACGATTTATTTATGTTTTTTCCACTTTATTAGACATATTTGGACTGATGTGACTTATAAAGTGGTGCGACGTGTACGGCGGAAAATGCGGTATGTCACATCGTAAAATCGTCATAATCACAAAATATAAAAGTGTTAAATGTTGTTTTTAATTATTTTAGAACTTATATGTTCAGTTGTTTCTTTGTAACTGATCAAGAAGTACATTTCTGCTCCGTGCTGGAGAGCTGCGTGACGGGTTAACCCTTTGTTGTTCTGCTGTGCTTCTCTACAATTTAAATTAAAATGCTGTAATTTTTAAATAAACAATCCATGCAGTATTTAATGTAAATAGTTTATTTAAGGAGGGAGATTGGGAGCAACAGGCGATGAGTGTGATTACAGCCTGGTACACGTCATGACAACGTTTACTGAACTTGGACTGGTGTCTCCCTACTTCACGGTTTTTCATTTATCGCGGGGGGGGGGGGGGGGGGGGGGCAGGATACGGAACACCTGCGATAAACGAGGGACTACATAAATTATTAGGATAAGTAAATATTTTGACCAGAGCAAACCTGCCAAGGGGAGGGTCACCCCTCAAAACTCACAGATCTTTAATCAGAGACCAAAGTTAACTGATGGACCAGAGCAGTAATGATGGGACTCATGGCTGGTTTTTTTTTTTTTGGGAACCAGTTCATTTGGCTTAGTTCACCTAAGAGAAGACTCTTTCAGTTCCCAAACTGCTCTTTACTGGGAGTGCTTTTGAGGAACTGGCTATTTGAGAACTGGGTCAAAGTCATTGGACTCATTTCTACAGTGTAGTTCTTCTGCAGAGCTTGGCTGATCTGTTCGTAGAACTGATGTAAGCTGAGCTGGGCCTGGAAGATACGAGGGGTTAAAAATAAACTGACTGGAGACAAAAATGCCAAATGGAGACTTTTTAGCAAATATGGGGAAGAAGGGGCTGTGG